ATATGTATATATGTATATATATGTGTGTTTGATATATATATATGTATATATACTTACACACACACACGCACACACACATACACACACACACACACACACAACAACACGCACACACACACACACACACACACACACACACATATATATATATATATTATTGTGTGTGTGCTTGTGTGTGTGTGTGCGTGTGCGTGCGTGTGTGTCTGTGTGTGTGGATGTATAAAAGTACATTCAAACAAGATAGTCAAACCGGTAATGTATGGTGTTTAGAAGTTATATTCTGTTCATTCAGAATCTTCACAAATTCGTGTGTATGTCGGATACTTTCCATATACGCATGTTTGAAATTTGTTTAGAATGCGGGCTCGTGTGACCTATGAATTGATGTCTTGTCGAGAACTTGAGATATATCATCAATATGGAGCATTGGGTGGGACTGTGTAATATCATTGCACGCACATAAACATACTGTCCTGTCTTTCTTTATAAGTTATATGCCGCCTCTTATTGTCTAGGCACTATGCTCCCGAAATGTAGTATACTGTATGGAGAATCATAAGTAGCAGACATGCGTATGATCTTAATTTTAATAGCCATCCATATGTGTACCAAGTGTACGTCACTACACCTGCAAATGTACGTTAAATGTTAGTCAGTTTTGAGCCCGTGACATAGTCTTATATGGACTGTGCCGCCACCCTCACTATACGAACAAGTTCTTCACTTTCCCTCGTTTATATTCTATGTTAGCGTTGTATCAGTCTATTATGTCTACAATATACGACTAGGTTGATTTGGGGGCTCGTAGTAATATCGCTGATGCCGATTGTACGCACCTTATGTCTTCCCGGTTGACACCTCTAATTGCTTCCGCTGATACTACATACTATTCAGGTACCTTGGAAAAATATGTCTCATGATGATGCAATTGACCGACTTAGACGATTGGGAGGAACCCCTGAAGAGGTTCTATCAAATACAGAGTTAATGGAGGTCATGCTACCAGCCATCAGGGCAGATTTTGATTTGCTAAACTACTATAGATTAGCTATGAGCCAGAAAGAGAATATCAGGCAGGTGAAATCGCCGTGCAAAGGTGTCTTACTATGTGGCACCAACGATAAGGTGGTACCCATGGAGAAGATAAAGGGCTGGCACGGGTTGTTCAACCCCAAGCTATCAGATTCAGAAGCTGAATCTGTGAAACAGCCGCTAGACACTCATATAATAGAAGGAAGCCATTTTTTTATTACAAAGGTACCAGCCCGGATGACAGTTATGAAGATACTTGTAGAATATCTATGATGCGATAAAAGTTAAGAAGTCCCTAATCAGTTTCTCGTAACTTATGCGGAGTACAACTTGCGTAATAAATATATAAACGGTCAGTTGCTTAGTCGTGTGTGTTGCACACGATAGTGCGAATAAGCCTGTAAACTTTTGACGTGAACAAGCGCCTCTGGTCATTCAATCTGCATCGTGATGGGTGTGTGACACGCGTGGCTCCGATTATTATGACATGGCTCTCATACGTATTTATTATGTGCACATCTGGGGAGGGTTCGTAATTTTGAAATTTATTTTGACTTTTGTTTTATTGATCTAATAAATACTTTCTGCCTGCTCCGTCTCAGGATGTTTGAAAGTATACATGTCGGAAGCGCAGTCTCGACGCAGGTTTGTCTGGTTGTGGTAAATTTCAACCGCAGTATCTTAAGGAGTATGTACGCTAGCACTTAAGAGTTCCTTTAACTCTTGTGTGCTTTGCTGGATGATGGATGCTCTCCTGAAGGCGTTCTTGTTTGTGGTTTGATATATATCGAGAAGATCTGCGACTGACATCTTGCTACTGCTTAAATCAGCGCGTAATGTACCTTATGCTGTTCCTTGCAGACGATTAATTGTGGTTACCTCGTGTCCATTAGGGGATGAGACATTGGCTCTTAGACTGACACCGTATTGGCTCTGAAAAGGGTTCCAGTCTTCTTTTTGAGGAAATTTATACCCTGAAGATCATCGTTGTCTTTGGCAACCCAAAAATCTATCACGATGTCTCCCTTGTTAGTGGGTCGTACTTTGAAAGCAACGTTGCAGCACGCAGAAAGCATGATAAAGATGGTAAGACAGAGGAGAAACCCGGTACTCATGAGGAAATACGGAGAGTCAATAAGTGCCCCCCAATACGGATTATGGTGAGAGTTGCTTTGAATCTTCATTTTCAGACGAATCCCAGCGGGCGTCTGTAGAAGCAAAAAAACCATGTTTAGTATTGAAAATATATATCACAAATGGCAGCGATGATTGCCATAGTCGAGCAGAGTCGATGTTCCTAGCATTTTTTCTGGGTCGCCATCATAACTACAAAGGCTCTGTTCGTTTGAACACTTAACACGATGGGGATGAGGGTAAAGAAGAGGACGCTATCTTACTGTCTAGACGAAAGATTCACATATTGGCGACTTACTTTAGAATCGGAATCGAGTGAAGCAACGCCCTTGTAGTCCATATGCCCCTCATTCTTCATATTCATATACTGTGTTGTGCTTTGGACGTTTTTAATGATATTCTGCACATCTCTAACGATGGCTTCCGGTACCGAAGAAGTATCTTCCTTGGTCTGAGAACTATTCCTTGATGCCTCCTGGACGGCTGATGCTTCATTGTTGTTGAGGGTAAATGGCCACACGCTCGTGAATGGTGCAAAGTTCAGTACGCTAGATGGGAGTGTATCGTAAATATCCGCATCCGCACGAACAATGATCATCATGCGTTTACCACCGTCAGGTGTACGAGTTGTAACGACATTTTCCCTTGATGGCTTGGAAAGTGAAAGTTTTTGTAGGTCGAATTTACTGAAATTAGTGATGGGAACTGCGAGTGCCGACTGTATTAACAGAATGACCGCTAGCACTAGAATACTTATCTGCTTTCTTGAGAACATTTTGCTCGTGGGGTGTGTTTCAAAAATCTGGATCCTTGAATTCTTGTGGCTACAACGAAGAGAACAAGTGGCGAGATAATATATTTGTTATCAGTCCTTATTGTTCATTCAAAATGAATTTTCTCTATACATTGGTAAACCCAGCAAGCCTTTGAAATTTGACTCTGGTCACTATGGTATTTTATACTACAAAAGAGGCGGGACGTATTTATTTATAATTATATATTTAACGCCTAAGGTCGCCGACCCGAAGACATTCTTGAACTCGAGACTTTAGAGCGCTTCGATTCTTTAATTTAGACCCACAAGAAGAAGAGGGCCAAGAGGCCAAGAGGCGGCGGGTAAGGGCCAAGGCCCAAGCCCAAGGGCAGCCTTTAGACTCCAGTGCTCTGTTCTTAAAAAAAAAAGAGGATACAGTATATATCTTTTCAATTTTGTTAGAAAAGTCTTTTCTATAAAATGTTTAAGAGAATTTCGTCTGTTTTGATATAACGATTGGTTGCCAAGTCGAATATTCTGGTAACGAAATGGGAAGGACGTATAAAATCAAAGATGTTCTGTCGCTATCGTTCCACTGGCGCTCTCAGCTGGGTGCAAAAAAATAAATACAGGTTGTGTCATCTTGTGCGGCTATGGAGTATTTCATAGTCTGTGCCTTTGTGAATAATTTCTCACCATGTACTGTACTATGCATAATTGTATAGTTTTAATGTTGTATTGACGTACTATCACTATGTAAATATGTATGTACTATTTATATTGTGCGTGTGGAATTCTCAGTTTTTTGTACGTGCCATCATTTTTCAAATATAATAAATCAGTGTTGTCAGTTTTACTTTTTCTCTCATCTATTTTCGAAAATCCGGTCTTGAAAATCCGCTGCAAATCCAATACGAACCAATGAGAGATGAGAATTCGAGCCAGAACCATAGCCTTCCGCTTTTGAACCATAGCGTTCCGATCTTGAGTCATAGTCTCCACAGGACTAATAATAAGTGCTTGTATTTATGTGCACCTACTTGATCGCAGTCTGTTGTTCCTGTGCAGGTTGTACTAGCTATAGCAGTAGAGGAAGTACTGCCTCATCACCCCTTGAGTATACACGTCATTTTCTGTATTTGTAGGTTTACGTGCACATAGTGAAAATGCGTATGTGTGTGTACAGATCTGTGTTATATATATATATATATATATATATTATGTATATATATATATATGTATACACACACACACACACA